AGTTGCCCCTCTACATTGAGTTTATGGAAATTTGCTTGCCAATCATCTTGTTGAACAAGTAGGGTACCTGATAAAATGGCGACATCGCAATACAAAGAGAGTCATTATCACCTCTCTTAATTTGCTCCTTTGTTGAAGTTAGCAGGAAATGGCTCGTTCTATTTAATAACTGAAAATTGAAGTTATAATGAAACTTGTCAGGAAGTGAAGTGTTTTTGTAACATTTTAAGTTTGGTAAATAGCTCCTGTGCATCCTTAAATAACATAATTGGTTTGTGAATAAGTTTTTGAGAAAACTTTTTCTCTCTACTCGATAAACAATTCGAGGATGCAAATATTATTTTTTGTGTTGGCATTGTTGCGGAGCAAGATTCGAAGAGCCAGTCTTTATTTTTTAATGCAGTGAACAGAGTTTCCCAACTTGTGGGTTGCAACTCAAACTAAAATAGCCAATGAATAAAGTTTCATGTAAAATATAAAAATCATTACTTTATTTTAAACCTTAAATATTTTCGTGTTTAACTCGTAATAAAAGATGTAATGAAAGTAGATTTATTCAATAAATGCTATTATTATTTAGCTAAATACATAAATGACTTAGGAGACCGTATTTTGAGATGTTTAGTTAATGATTTTTAAATTTTGGTTTAAGAATGTTATATTGAAAAAAAGGTATAGTATTACATTGAAATTTTAAATTGAAAAAAATCAAGTTGTGCATGCTTTAGGAGATGGTAAAACTCATTAAAAAAGATTTTTTAAACGCCTAACTTTATAAAAAAAATAATAATAAATAAAACTTTAAGCTATATGACAGACTTATATTCAAAGTCAACGTCAAAAGTCAAATTACAATTGTAATCATCAAATGCAGTTTTATCAAATTTTTTTTTAGAATAAAACATTTAAAATTAAACGTTAACTTTTATTTACTGAGTTATTTAAGAACTACTAAGTCGTTTGTGTTTACTTACATGTATAGAGACGAAAAACTAATAACTTCATTTAAAAAAAAAAAAAGTAAAGTGCTCCTGCAACAGCTAGTTAATAACCAAACAGATTAAGGAGGTCAAAGCCTCACAATTTCGTGACTAATTGAATGATAGTGACCATCATTTTGCACAAGCTGGCTCCCAACCTGGAGGGGAACTCCTGTCTTACACAACGACAGATGAGTGTCTTAACCGCTGTGCTCTCGCTCGTAAATTTTTTATATAAATGTCTCACGTTTATGTGTAAAACAGCCTACGAATTAAAAAAAAAAGTAAGAAGGAATCACAATTCAATTTGAATATTTGAATTTATAAATGCGATGAAATAAATAATCTAATAATAAACTTGTTTATTTGTTAGATTCTAGCCCGAATAGATTTAAACTAAATTATAACATGCATATAAACACATTATTTTAAATATATAATTAAAAAACAAAACACTTTGTTTTTTAAGGTGAGTTTATTAATATACTATGGCGAGTTTATTTATATAGACATAATTCTAGTTCCAAGCAATGTTCTTTTATTTTTATTTTTTTATATTAGATAAATCACCATGTCGAATTGCTAAATATCTGTTGAACTATTTGTTTTCAAAATAGTCTACGAGTAATTAACCTTTTAAAATCAAGATATTTTATTTCAAAATAATGAATTAAAAAATGATGCCAATTAAGCTTTTAATTCTGTTATTACCAGCTTATTTGGATAATATACGTGTGAGAAAAGGTAAACAGCTTTAACTTAGTGTTTCGTAAAATTAATTTAAAAACACTTCAAAAATAAATGATATGTTATAATCTTCAAGAAATAAATTAATAAATATTAACGAATAGATCGTTTTCTGTTATTCGTTCTTTGTTATTAACATAACATACAGTAAAGCAACAAAATTAATTACTATTTATCTAATAACAGCTTTCATATTTAATATAAAAAAGCTGTTTTAATTACAAGTTTAAAAAAAATATTTAGTTTTTAAAAAATCATATGTGGTCCTCACTCTAGAGGTTTGCGCACCCCTCTGCCTAAAAATTGGTCTGTCAGTAGCATAAGACAACAATAACAACTCTAGAGGTTTATAATTATCACTTCAGAGGTGAGAAAAAATAATATGAATAAAAGAATGAAACATACGTTCATTTTACCACTCCGCGGATTTTGTTTTTATAAGATATCTAGCAATATTAGGGTAAGCCTAACACGGGGCAACGTATTCCCTTTTGGGATTATGACCCTTTAGAAGAACCAAATTATAGGGGAGAGTATTTTATTAGCATAACAGTGGTTTTTAAGCGCTTAAAGTATAATTTCGTGGAGGAAGACATAATTGTATACCCATTATATACCTACTTGATCCCTGAAACCTGCGCAATTTGGGGGGCAGCGCGTGAAATCTATATTCATGATCAGTTTGCAAAAATGCTGAAAGCGATGGAACCAGCGAAATCAAATTATTTGTATTTTTGAAATGGGTTAAGAAATTTGTAATTTTAAATGTATCTATACGAGGTTAAAGATTTGAAATTAAAACGATATAATGGGGGGAAGGGCTTTAAATTTATCGTAGGAGACTGCAAATATTCGTGATCTCAATTTTAAACCAAATAGAATATGCAAGGAGATTTTATATTTAAAAAAAAGAACTTAGTCATCAATAATGTATTATCAATAGTTTTCTATAAGTAAATAATATGTCTTTCAACATTTTTAAACATTTTCTAATTATTTTTAGGATAGAAATGGGGATGTTTTTTTTTTCTAAAGCCGCAAGGGTGGTTTTGAATTATTTCACGGAATGAATGTAAAGAAAATCAAGGAGAATTGAAAAATATTTATGTATATATTTTTTAAATAATAAAATTTCCGAGTTGACCTTTTTTAATATCTTATTTATGTTCGCCATCTATTTACATTATTATTTTTTCTTAAATTATTAACTATCTTTCTTTTTCTAAGAATAAAAGTAGAATGATTGTTCAAGAATGTTAAAACAGGTTTAAACCTTTTAACTTGAAGGGGGTTTGGCTAATTGTGAGGATCAACGAGAATTAAATGAGTTATTAAATGATTGAAACTCAGAAGATATTTTACAAACAATTATTGTGTCGAACGAACTATCAAACATTTATTTATTGACGAAAAATAACCAATTTGAACTAAAATGAAATGAATTTAATTCGTACAAAGTTGTTCAATCAGTAAACTAAACTATCAAAAATGTTCCATTTGCCTCCCCACCCCCTTTTTTTGTATTTGGTCTTCTTAAAATTTTATGAACTTTTCTTAATTTTTTTTTTTCATAATGTGTTCGATTTCCTCTTTGGCTAGGGTATCTGTCAAAAACTTTGATTTGAGACGATGAGTTTGAGAAGACGCCATACCGCGGAAGAAACTTTTCATCGCAAATTCTCCTTCTCCTTCATTATTAATTTAAAATTTAAAGTGTAGAAAAATTGAGTTCAGACAAACATAAAGTAAGCCATAAAGTTTCAATTGCTGAAAAAAATACTTCAAAATATTAAAATGCAAACAAATTATTACAAGAGAACTTCTTCATAACGTAATCTTAAGTTATCATCTCATAAATTATTTTCATTTGTATATTTTAAAATTTTCTTTTCAGTATTTCAAGCTTCATGACTTACTGTAGGTTTGGCTGAACTCATTTTTTCTACACTTTAAATTTTAAATTAGTAATGAAGGAGAAAGAGAATTTGGGACGAAAATTTTCTTCCGCTGTATGGCGTCCTCTTACCTTCACTTATCAGCCATTTTGTAAAAAACGGTGATTGTTCTGAAATTACAATAGCATATTTTTGACAATTTTAGACGCTTCTTCCCCCTTGTCAGCAAAAATAAGCTAATCTCAAACTCCCTACCTACGGAAGAATGTCGCCAATACTTTTCTTTGACTTTTACTGCAGTAATTTAATTTTAGCATTAAATTAAAACTAAATATGTAAATTTGTCTAAAGTAAAATGTATGTGCCAATTTTTTTGATAAAATTTGTATAAAATTCTCATTAAGAATCTTATGTATTAACTCTTGCCTTCTGGCTCTTTATTTCTTTTTTCTTCAAAATTTTCCTTCCAGATACTTAACTTTTATTTAAAGTTTTTCCTAGTGTATATTTTTTTTTGTTTTAATATTTAGTATATTCTTCCAATTTTTTTGTTTACAATTTTTTTTCGCATTTCAGGAAAATTTTAAAAATAATGTGCTTTTATGTGTTTTTTTTTTTTTTTTTTTTTTTTTAATCATTTTCCCCTTTTTCAGTAAAAATAATCATGAGCAACTCACAAACTTCCTCCTTTCGTAGGTGCTTACGTAATATTTGAACTGTCCCGAAGTCAAAAAACAAATTTAAAAAATGAAAATTAATAACAGTTATGCTTATTTTTAGTTAATTAATCTCATTATTCAAACATATGTTTTCTACATATGCTAGTAACAGATAGCATAAGAGATAAGAGTTTTATTTTATTTTATAACCGTCGTTGAAGAGCCGACCCAATTTTTTGGGTTATGTTCAACTCCGTAGCCTAGTAATTTTGAGCCCATTCCAGAGGACAAGGGAACTCCTGGATTAAGTGCCGGGAGAAATTTGCCTTCGTGGAGAACTTTTTGATGGAACTAACCCGTATTTTGCGTCACATGGACAGGAAAACCACGAAAACCTCTCATGATTAGCCTGACGGCAAGGGGACTCTAACCCAAGATCCATCCACCACTGAGAATATTTTAAGTCAGCACTGGCGTCGGTGCAAGCCAGATGCAGAATTCGCATCGACCAACCATTGCTGGGATTCGAACCCAGAGATAAGAGTAGGGAACAAAACTTCTCCGTGTTTTATTAACAAATAACTGATAGATGTAAACAGCATGATATGCTGCATGGTACTATGCTGCAATATGGTGTTCATCAATGAATTAATGCCACATTCTTCGAACTCTATAATTTTTATGCTTATTTCTGTAATTTTTATGTGTTATAATTTTAGGTGAATTTGAGAAGTAGTTTTATCATGAACGGTGTTTGCGTACGTTGGCGAGGTTATTTGGATCTAGAAAGACTGGACGGCGTTGGCTGCCTAGAGTTTGATGAAGAATTAGCTGAGGTAAGTGCAACAGAAATTCCATTTTTTTAAAACTAATGTAAATTATAATTTATATGCTTGTAAAAGAATTAATTTTAACTTACTATAAGTTAGAATAGGTTAAATTTTAATTTATTTTATTTCCGTGTTGAATTATTTCAGTATACATTGTTTGGAAATGTAGCGAGTACTGACACCTTAGCGAATAACTAATAATGGTTGAACTTATTTCAGAACAACTAAATAACATTAAATATTTAATCTAATTAAAATACCGTCATTCAAGACTACTTTTGACAGACACTGAAAATAAAGTTAATAATTTTTGTACAGAACAAATAAAACAGGGCATGTTGGTGTTTTTATAATTAAAAAATAATTTCTACCATATTTGAGGGTAGTTAAAAGTTTTGAGTAATTTAAAATTTAATCATTGGCAACAGTGAAGTTTTTGTAAACCATTACTTTAATGAGTAACTTGCTCACCTTGTAACTTTTGACTGTGGGAGAATCCATTTACGTAATGAAAATAAGGTAGGTATCAAAATATTGCCATTAGTTACCTGTTACCAAAGTGTAATGATCGTTTTTCTTTTTTCTTTCGACGGTAAAGTTTTTGCTAACATAACCTATAAAATCAAGCCAGATAGAAAATATATTCTTGCTTATGCGTGGGCTGACATCAACAGCAAAAACAATTCACTCCCGAGCTAATGAAGCGAGAATAATTTAATGTTCCTGAGAGGGCTACATAGAGGTTAGAGTAAAATGTTTATCTCTTAAAAGTCATAAAAACCTAAAATCTGTTGTTTTTTTTAATGTTTAAATATGCATTTTTATTTATTTATTTATTTTTGCTAATTCGTAATGTTATTCCACAGGCATATTCTTGTGCAAGTTGTTAAAATAGCCTTAATAATTGAATTGTATTTAATTTCTATTAAAATAGGTGAGTGGTCCAAAGAAGCCCCGAGATTTGGTTCAAAATTTTAAAAACAGTAAAAAAATAAAAAACGAAATTTTTAAAAAAAAAACTGTACGGTTTAGTTCCTTATGAAAATTAATTTGAACATTGAAAGACCATTTATTATATTTTCTATTAACTAATATATAAAAGAAAACACAAAAAAGTGTCTTAAAGTTGACGGTGTATTGGTAATTTGATAGATATACGGTAAAAGAAATTATTGATCATATCTTTCTATGTAATTAATACAAGAAACTATGAAATTAGTATTTTGTAGAAAATATTGTTGTTCCAAGAAAAAAAAGAAATTTAAGTATTCAGTTTCAAATGCTTCAATTTTTATTCCTCATATTATTCAGATATGTTTTCCTACAGATTGAAAACGCACGTCTTCAACAGCAAATCGAAACGTATAACAAAAGAATGCAAGATCTGGAAGAAAAACAAAGAGCCTTCATGCCACCTAGATTAAAACGACAAAAAAATGAGGTATGTTACTGCATGTTCATAAATATATAATAGAATTTGTAGTAAAAAAAAAAAAAATTTACGAACATTTTCGAAATCCAAAATTTCAAATTGACAAAAAATTTTCACTGTGGTCGCAGATTTGATAAAAATAATTTTTAGTTAAACTGGATAATAATTAGGTTTTAAATTTCCGGTAAAGAATCCTCAATTTCATTTATTTGAATCAAAACTGTAAATTTTAACTGCATAATTCATGAAATAAATTTTATTTTGCAAATTAAAAGATGCTAAGTTTGGAATGCAAAGCATCAGTAAAAAAATTACGAACGAAAAATAATATTTGGATCTTACAGAATCTAACTCAGAATCTACATAATATTCAGTTATATAATAACATTCGATACATAATATTTGATTATATAATATTACTGGATACATAATATTCGATAAATATTATTTGATTAAAATACGATTTGTTAAAAATTGAAAATATGTAAAATTTGTTTTAACGAATATCTTAAACTAATCCAGATTCTACATAATAACCTAATGTTTGTGTTCGTTAAATTAATGCTTATTCTTTGATGATAAAATACCTTCTCTCAACTACTATTACGGTAAACTATAACGGTAAAATATTTTCTTCATTAAATGTGGGATTCTTAAAAAAAAGAGAGAAAAAAAACTCCCGATTAAAAGGATTCAAAAACTACTATTAGTAAAACGATCTCATTTGAAAAACGCTCTTTTATTACTATTTAAAAAGAGATCTCTCGAAGAGAAAATTAACCGAAACGGAAAAAGATGGTTCATTTTACAAATCTCAAATATATTTTTTTATTATTAGTTTTTCTTTTATCTCCAATTCACACGAAGAGAGAAGGACATCTGGGTGGGAGAGTACAAAAAGACGCTTTAAAACGTTCACAAAAATCGTTTGCAGAACACTTTTCGAAGCTAAAAATGAATATAGATATTTTTTTGCTTTGTCATTTTATCCCAGGCCTTAAAAACTCTGATAGATACGAGAATGGGGGACGACATCATAAAGGAGGGGTGGAGGTGCAAATGATGGGTAATTATTGTAGGTGCACGTGGCTTTGAAAGGAGGTTCAAACATCTGTTAAATTACAGCTCTCTCTCTCTCTATGTACTTTATAGCTGATAAAATGAGGAAAAAATAAGTTATGAAGAAAGTTTCTTTTTAATTTAAGAAAAATCGGAAAGTTAAAAACATCCATGAATTTTGGTTATTTATTTGCATTGATTGTTGTACTGCATTTACTGAATACTGATCGATTGCTGCCCTTAAAATATTTTCCAGTATTTTATTAACTTTTCCATTTTTCTATTTTACTACATTTCTATTAAATCGAATCCCCTTACATTTTTTTAAACTTTTTATTCTATTTTTTCTTCTTATTATTATTATTCGCTCCACTGAGGATTGATAGTTAGACATGATTCCCAGGTATATCACCAAAGTCAAACATCTGCTGGTGACTACTTTAATCAGCAGGCCGAACGATTGCTTTTAATGTAGTGAAAATAAAAAGATTTATTTCATTAAAAAAATAACTTTAAAATTCTATATTATAAGTAAGAGTAATTTAACATACAGTTTTACGAGCCAAACATTTTTAAATTTTAAATACCCAAATATTATGTGATCGGAAAACAGAATGAAAAATTAATTCCAAAGAAACAGCCAATTGATATACGTTTCGTATTATAAATAAATGAGTAAATTACTTTAAAATTATGAGCTATAAGTAGTAGAGTGGTGTTAGTAACGATCACTTAGCTTGCAGTTTTAAAAACCCAGTATTAACTAATTCAATGCAATATAACTTCAAATACAATTTAACGGCCTTTAAATGGAGATTTTTTTAATAGACTAAATGAGTAAAAAAAAAAAGTAAGGATAGTTTTACACCTCATTTTGTCAGTGAAAAATTTTATTAACACTGCATATTCCCGATCCATTTTCCAACACTATATGTTTTTTCATAACAACTGATCTGTTATTTTCGATGTTATCTTTACGAAGGTGAGGTTATAAAGGACAGCCATCGAAATCGAATACTTTAAAATCTGCGCATGCACGATCGCTTTTCACTCCCCGTTTTATCCCATCCACACAATAGGGGACATTTTTATCCCCTTATATAGCGCTATTATAGTAAAAAAAAAGGCATGTGGTTATATTCACGATTTTTAACGATATTTAAATATATCTACGAGTGATTTTTGGGATGATCTAACAGTTTAAATTATACTCTTTTGGTATATGTAGCAACACATCATTATAATTATATGATATTAATTACTTTTAAAAAATAAACTTTTTAAGGCAACTGTCTACAATAAATTAATTATAGTGGACAGTATCCTAAAAAGTCTATTAATAAGGAACTTAATAAAGAATTATGGAAGCACTTCTATACTAACTAATTTTTTCATGTTTGTCAAGAAATATTTTAAGAATAGGAGATAGTCCTATATTATGTCAATGTAATTTTTAATAAATCTTAGTTAATAATACAAAATATTATGTGTAGAAAATCCATTCACAACTTTCTTTCCAAATTTATAAAAACTACTTATAAAATTGCTGGAAACTTTTTTAATATTCAATATATTCAAATCGGATTTTTTTTTCATATGTAATCAAATACGAATCAGCACAAAAAAATGAAAAAGTGAAAAAAAAATTTTTTTTTCATACGTTATCAAATACAAATCAACACAAAATCATGAAAAAAATTTTTCTTTTCATATGTTATCAAATACGAATCAGCACAATATCATGAAAAAAATTTTTTTTTCATATGTTATCAAATACGAATCAGCACAAAATCATGAAAATCAGGAATCCCGCACAGTATGAAAGGATTTCTTTAAAACTTCATATCTTGCGAAACTTTTAAGTTTAACTCTAAAGCTCTAATTTTTTTAAAAAATTTATTTGAAATTTCTGTAGTTATAGTAAAAAAACATAAATCAAAAAAAAACTTTTTTTAAAAAGAATTTATGAATTTTTTTTAATTTTTAAGCTAGGCTTACATAATTTTGTATAATTATTGCATATTATAATCATAATAATTGTTATAAGTTACAAGCTTAATGCTATACTTTTTTAGCATACAAAAATACTCTTTTTTGTAATGCAGTATCGGTCCCTCAAGTTTTGAAAAGCTTTAAACTTCATTGTTCTGAAATTACATAACTTAAATTGTTCTAAAGTTATAAAATAATTCGATAAGTATTTCTTTAAAAATATGTAAAAAATGAGTTAAAAGTGCTTCCATAATTTTGCCAAACCCTTGCATCCAAAGCTTGCAATCCTGCGATATATAACACAGTTTTTCAAATTCATGAGTAGTTGAACAAATTAATAATATATGCATGAAAAAAAAACATTTCGAAAGGAAAGTTAAGACTTTAAAAAAGTTAAGTTTCAATCTTTAGCATTAAAGTTATACAAATTTTATTATTTTTAATTATTATATTACTTTTAAACGCACAACTAAATAAATGTTTTCCTTTAATATGGTTTTGAAAATTACGCACGTACTAAAAGAAAGTGTTAAAATTACTTAGTGGAATATTTGGTAATTAAAATTGACAAAACAACAATTAAATTACTTTTCTATAACGAGAAAGTGCAACGGCAATAAATGCTTTAAAAGGATGCGAGGAAAATTAATAGAATAAATCACACTGTGATATTAGTTTAAAATACACGGTTCAATAAATGTTTGCCTTTTATATGTTTACTCTTACTTTTTTAAAAATCTTAATATTTACGGGTCGAATAATAAGTTCAGAATTGAAAATTTTCAATTAATTGTGTTCAATGAGGTATGCGGACCTCAAATTGCAGCAGACCCAGAAAGAAGAATCGTTATGTAATTTAAACTTCATTAACTTATTGGAATATTATTTAAATCATTACTTTATTTAAACCATTTATCTATCGTACTATTTATTTATAGTTTTATTATTATTTTCCAATAAATACTACAATTTTTCAGTTTCTAGATTCTTTTATAGTTTTGATCACTGAAGAGGTTTTTATACTACATGTGCAAAGATTAAAAAAAAATCTTCTTATTTTTGTGATAGTAGTGGCAAAAAACATTTTAGTATTACACCTTCAGGACGGAAATTTCACGTCCTGCGCAATTGGGTTAGCCAATTAATACTTTGAATAGAAATAAACAAAAACGATATCAAAATCTAAAGAATCACCTTTGAAGACGGTGGAATAAAAATATCAAAACTTGTTTGATTGCCGAAGTAAATAAAGAAGATTTTAAAGGTGATTTTTTGACCAATAATTAAATACTCATTTTGTCATAATTTTAGACCGAAATTCGAAAATTGTATACTTTAATCACTGAACATCCTGTATATTTTCGTTTCTCTCATCAGAAAAAATGCAGAAAAAGAGGTCAAGCAGTGATTGGAAAAAATAATAAATAAATAAATAAAAAACAACAAATCAAAGTACGCGCAAACAGTTTGACGGTTTAATTTTTTGCTCCATCATTAAACAAGCAAGCTACATTTAAAAAATAATAATAAATATTTTGAATACTTTTTCCCCGGAGGCCATCGAATCATTTAGATATTCATTGATTGTCCTAAATTAATACAAGAAAAAATGAAACCAAGGTAGGATGTAGAAATAGAGCTACAAGCTGGAAAATTTTGCAAATCGCGACATTAGAACATCTTGACTTTATCGCTGTTATTCATACGAAACTTGCTATATTCTTGTGACATAGCTCGTAAACTATTTAGACTCGTGGTAATTGAATTAATTTTTGTAAATTAATTCAATTTTATTTAATTTTTAAATAAATTTAAAATTTGTATTAATGGTTAATTTAAAAATTACATTAATTTAATTTTTGTAAAATACATTTGTGTCTACAATTTGTAATAATTTTCTCTTTTTTCATGATTATTTTTCTTATTTATACATAAAGAGAGAGAAAAAATCTGTCTTAAAAGAGGTAAATAAAAATAATAAAAATAGAAAAATAAGTAGTAATAATAAAATGTAATAATAATAAATGAAAAAAATAAAATAATTAAATTATTTTTTCAACGTTTTTAAATATTTTATTTCATATTTCATTTTTTTTTCTGTTTTCAATTCTCTAACTTTTTTTTAAAAAAGACTCGAGAGTTGAAAAAAAAAGAAAGAATCCACGACTCCCAATAACTCCGAACAATACAAAAAAGTTTACTGGTTATAATTTTTCATTCCCTTTTTAGGTTGTAGGAAGAGAAGCAAGTCCAGGGACAATCAGCAATTAACTACAGTCTCAACAAATGTAAATAGTACTGTATAATTTTTTGTGTGTACATAAATAAGAATTATCATATGCATTAAATAAAAACATATTTATTAATAAAATTCAGCGTAATTATATTTTGCATAAATGACATTTTTATTATTTTGCTTACATTTTTTTCACATTTCATGAAGAACTAGATTTCATGAAGAATTAAAATTAAGAACTTACAAAATGCAGTTATAATACCTCCCATGAAAGGTAAGTCTATTATTTTTATACAATTAATTAAAATATATATGAAATTAGCACTCTACACAATGCGGGTTGTTATTTAGTTTAACTCTTATTTGAAAATGTTTATAAGTATTTTGAATGAAGGAATAACTCAACCAAACATCGGGCCCATTCAATCTTATGTAAGCACCAATAGTTTGTCTGAAGTAAGAACTCCCCTAGCCATTCGTCGGGACCCGTGGGTGTTACTATGGTAACGAGGTATAACTATTTCAAGTAGGGGTGTGCGGTGACCGCTTAGGTGTTTAGAATAGGTTTTCTCGGGTCGGCGTGAGAAAGGAAATCTTGTTCTTCGGTCTATTGCGCTAGCCCTAAACTGTAGAGAAGCTACCCTCCATGAAATGCACTATTCTTGTTTCCATAGCATCAAAAAGTCTCAGACTTTCTGGCGGGGGGGGGGGTTACCCCAGACAAACTATATACGGGTAAGTACCTAAAGGGGGAGAGGGTTTGTGATACGTTTATTATGTTGTCAGAAGGAGTGACAGGTTATGAGCAATACTAACGTAAAACATTAAAATCGTATTATTTTCAAAAAAAAATTTAAATGCTTAAAAGAAACTTGTAATAACCTTTTAAAAAAGAAAATACATTCTTAAAAATCAATTTTAAGGAAAGGAAAAATCGACATGTTTTTCTTTTACTAGGAGTTTCAAAAATCAAGAGTTTCAACGACAGAAGAAGAATATATAGAAATAAAATAAATTAGATATAATTTTCGTTTTAGATTTTATGCCAAAAATAGATTACTATTGTAGAAATTAAAGCAAAAAACTAATGAGGGGAGCTGCGTCTTTCTTACGTAAGCATGGAAAGTGATTTGTGTTTGCTTATTTTTGCTGACAAAAGGAGAGAGAGAGTGAGAGTCAAAATTGCTAAAAACATGCTTACGAAGTATATTACCTCAATTTCACTTGTACTTTATTCTTAAATTTCATGCTTTACAGTAAAAGACTTACTTATTCAGAAATTAGTATATCGAAGTGGCTATTTCACATGACGAGTTATAGAAGATGACGATGTAATAAGATGCCCTCGAAAAGATGTCCATGTAAATAATATGTCCTAGAAAATGCGTCGGCCTTACTGTATATTTAAATTGATTATAATACTGTGTCTACCAAATGATACAGAAGGATCTTTGGATCGTTGGATCTTCAAGCATACACAAAATATAATCAAGAATTACGTATGAAAAAAAACTGTTTGTTTTTACTTTCATCAAAACAGATTCACTGTGAGAAACCGATGTTTTTTTTTTTTTTTTTTTTTTTTTTTTTTTTTTTTTTTTNTTTTTTTTTTTTTTTTTTTTTTTTTTTTTTTTGAAGTTGAAAACATTGAGTTCATTTTTGATATCTCGCACATTAAAACTAAAAATCTACGAAGCATTTTTGGAAACAGTAATAATCTATCGAAGTGAAACCAGGAATACTACACAATACAAGGAAAAATTACTTTCAACAGGGGGAAGAAAGATTCTACAAAAAATTCTCGAATTCGCGAACGATGGTGATGTTAAGAGAATTCGATCAAATTTAGAAATAGAGTGGTTATTTAGAGATATTATAAAAATCGCAAAAAAAAATATCCAGTGGATGGGAACTTTATAAATACGAAAGAGGGCAAAAATATAAAAAAGATCTTTTTAGAAAGAGTATCAAGAAGTGTTGCAAGACTAACGGAACAATAACTGAACCAGCCTGAACCAACCGGCCAAGAACGGAACAATAACTGGTTGAAGTTGAAAGAGATATTGAGCTCATGTTTAAACGAAATGTTTAAATAAAAGATCAAAAAGTTTACAGTTGTATTGTGAGACCAAGATCCTTCATAGGGTTTAGTGCGTAAGTTTTTAAGTCTTTCATAATTCTACAAAACACGAGAAGGAAAAAACCCAGTTTACATCACTGCCTGCGTACACAACACCGTTTCATTTCTTATAACATAGCTGATGATAAAAACTAGCTAATATCATGTTCTTTATATGATAAGAAAGTAACACTTGTAACTTAAAAGTGCCACCAATTACGATAAAAAGACGATAAGCGATAAAAAAAACAAAGAATAATTAATATCAATCGTGGTCAATAGCACTAGAAAGTTAGAAGACAGTTACAGTTAATTTATACTCGAAATCGCATTTTTAAATTGTTCTCGGAATGAATGATGAACATTAACCCTAACTATGGAACACTCTCAGAAATTTTGGCGCGTGTTGTACCATAATATCATTTAAATTTTCTGTAACTTTAACATGATGCTAATTTGAACCTATCCAGCATCTTAAACTTGATTTCACAATATTATGGGTCAACTTGAACGGAGAAATTTTTTAATTTAGCACTTTATTAAGATTGAGAAATATTTTCACTGTATTATGATTCAAGGTTAGAACAAATTTTTTCAGAATATTTTTGTATTCAACCAGATATCAGTTAAACTTTTAATGCTAAAAAGACCTCAGTCCTATTCTTCTAGCGTTAAAAGATAGGTAACAATAGATCATATTCTGAAGATGAAACTATTGAGAGACATTGAATATTTCCGAATTCAAGGACATGAAAAACTTCAATTCTTTAATATAAAGCTGGAGAAAATGTATCTAAAATTTCACTATGACTGATCTATATGATTTAAAATTATATAAGCTTTGATTCATTTAAATGTTCTTAATACTAGAAAGACTGAAACTTAGTATATACCTATATTGCCCAAAAGCAGTCAAAATGACAGCATTGTGAAAGAATAACTAATGTGTAAAGAAATTTGCTTAATTAATTTTTAATATTTTTTTTATATTATTTACAGTTATATAATAAGTTATTAGTAAATATTAACAATAAAAAAATTTACTTCACTAGGAAAGAAAATATTAATTTATGCATTATTATTTGTAAGTTTACTACAAATAAAAAAGCAGTTAAAATGGCTTCCATTAGGCAACCTATTGTTAAAGAAATAGAACTATTTTTTAAAAAAAAAAATAATAAATAACTTTATACATTGTATTGCAGTTCAAGGTTAAAACAAAGTTTTTTAGAAAATGTTTTTATTCAGCGAGATATCAATTTAATGCCAAAGTTATAGAACCTTATTCTTATTCTCCTAACAATAAAAGGAACGCGACTATAGATTATATTCCAAAATTGAAACTATTGTGCTTTGTTGTAAATTTCCGAATTCCAGGACATGAATCACTTCCATTCTTTAATATTATAAAAAGAGATAAAATTTATCTAAAATTTACTATAACTAATCTACAGAATTTAAAATTAAATATACTTTGATTCATTTAAATATACTCAAAGAAACTCAATTTTTATTTTTTTAAATTTTATACCTTATACACCTTGACGAAACTCAACTATACGTTTACCTCGGTGGCAAAATTTACAGAGCCGATCTATTGCACAAACTTCGTGGACTGAAATTTGCCTGCAACCAGAGCGGAATCAGATACTGACTATTATTGTAAAAATTAGACCAATTATAAATTATTGTAGCTAAATTAGCACACATAAGGTAGATTAAAATGATAAACCAAACAATTTGTTAAAACTGACCTTAATTAAAATTTTCTGTATAATTTTAATTAGTGAAATTATTGAAGTTTGAAAAACTGACTATCGCTATGCAGTGCATAATCAAGTTTTAGGAATTTAAAAATTTATTTTTAATTTTTTGTCAGCTTTTAAATTTTTAAATCCAGTGAATAAAAAAAAAACATTATTTTAAATTTTTGAAAGTTAAACTTTTTTTTCTTTTTTTTTTCTTCTTTTTCTTTTTTTTTTCTTCTTTTTCTTTTTTTTTCTTCTTTTTCTTTTTTTTTCTTCTTTTTCTTTTTTTTTTTCTTTAATATCTGTAAATTGGCACACAAATTTTGTTATGGACCTGAAACAAGCAGTAACTGAGTAAATTAAGAAAGTAAAAATAATTTTCTCCTCTCTGTATTATTTTCTCTGGCTCTTTTTTAAAAAATCTGATATAAGAAATAATCTTTTGGTGGCGCTGTGATCATTTTTATTTTTTAAATCTGAAATTTAAAAAAAATTATTATCTGCCGATGCTCTGATGATCTGCAGCTTCCCCTGGCGTGCTGGAGGATTTCTGCTACCGGGTCCTAAGTTTAATATTTTAAACCTCATTCGTAGCAGAAATATTTCTGAGAGATGATAATTTTGTTTATCTCTCAGAATTATTTTACATCCTAAACTTACTGGATTCGATAAAATAAAATAAAATAACTACCTTTCATCGATTTAAAATTCAAATGGAACGCAATAATTGTGTCATAGGTCTTACATTGCCTCCCGGGTGGTCATTGTTAAAGTCGTCAATGGCAAAACTCCGCATTTCCTCAGTGCATCTGGCAAATCAAATATGACAGACCAACAAAATGTCCCATCAGTGTTAACACACCCCATCTATTATGCATCAAATGATACCTGTCCGCCCCAACCATTTACCTAAGCTAATAATGGAGGTTTCCGATTAAGTACAAAGGCTTTTCAAGTCCCTCTTTAAAGGCAGCATTTATATAAGAATCCTCTTCGTCTTGCTTATTGCTGGAGACAACCTGTGTGATGGGGATTTCTTGAGAAAATTTAGAATGTCAACAAGGTGCCATTTTGTTCGAAAACTTATAATGTTGTCAATTAAATTTTTGTGAACATCTCTCATTATTTTAAGTTGGTGTAGTAAGGTAATATATTTTAATGTAAAAAATGAGCACAATAATTATTTACATTTCGGAAATATTTTTGTACTATACTAAAACCTCGTT